ACACGCCTTATAGCAAAAACCTCTCCCCCCCAAAAAAAGGATAGTCCATAAAGAATTTGCCTTGGGGCTGGCAGGTGGCGTGGTGGTTAAAGTCATCTCACATGGCTGACCACAGTTCAAAACCCAGACCTGGTGGCTTGCTTTCTCACTTTCCTTCTCCCTGGTCAAATTAAAAGATAATAATAAATAGAGTTGAGTTGAATAATAATTTTAAAAAAAGAATTTGTCTTAGGGCCAGCGATGGCATGGTGGTTGGGACAGCTTGCTCTCATATGACTGACTGCAGTTTGAGTCCCAGACCTGGCGGCTTAAACATTTCAGGAGGACCAGCAGTTAGTGTAATGGCTATGTTGTTAGCCTCCCATGTAGTTGACCGCGGTTCGAGTCCTGGACCCGGTGGCTTAAACTCATGCTGGGCGTGTGTGTGTGTGTGCCCAAGATCCCAAGAGGAGAATGGAGGAGAAGGGATTGCAGCGTGGCCATCACCCCGGGGGGTTATTTCTCGCTTTCTATCTCTCTGTTTCTCTCAAAAAAAAAAAAAAAGGAAATATGTCAGGCGTATGCATACCTGCCCAAAGTCACAAGAGGAGAAGGGATTGCAACTGGACCATCATCCTCTCTGGGGGGCACTTTCTCACTTTCCCTCTCTCTTTGTCACTTTTCAGCACATACATCTACCCTTTAGCAAATTAAAAGAAAAGAAATTCCCATGCATTAATTTAGCATAACAAATTTTATATTTTCATTATCTTTTAATTAACCATCTGTTTAATTTTTTTTTTCTGGAGAGATTTTTGCTGTAGGGCATGCACACTCACCAGAGAGACAGACACAGTAAGCAAGAAATCACTCTCCAAGAGGGATGAACACACTACTCCTCTCCTCCATTCTCCTCTCAGGATTTAGGGCATGCACTCACACATGCCTGGCTGAGTTTGAAGCCGCTGGGTTCAGGACTTGGACTGTGGCTGGCCACATGGGAGTTCAGTGATGTAACTGCTATGTCATCGACTGGTTCTGTTAATTTCTAAAATTTATATTTAATCACTATATATCATTACACTGTGCAGCATTACTTTTTCTCAACATAAAGATGATGCATATTTTTTTTTTTTTTAAAGTTTGCTACAGGGCATATGTGCTTACTAGAGAGAAAGACAGGAAAAGTGAGAAAGCAACCCACCAGGTTTGATACTCAAACCACAGTCGGCCATGTGGGAATCCAGCGCCTTCAACCACCATGCCACCTGCTGGTCCTGAAGTCTTTTTTTTTTATATATACAATCCAGAAACTTAACTTCTTTACTTGTACCATGAACATCTGGGTTTTTTGTTTTGTTTTGTTTTAAGTTTGTCGTAGGGTACATTTGTTTGCCAGAGACAGAGAGAAAACAAGAAAGCACCTCCAGGGGGAGGTGCCAAATCCCTTCTCCATTCTCCTGTTGTGCATACATGCATACACACCTGGTGTTTTTTTCAGGCTGCTAGATTTGTTACTCAAACCACCTTCCCAGCAATGCAGGATCTATCTGCCTTAATCACCAAGCTACTGACTGGCCTTACCATAAATATCCTTTCCTTTCAGTGTAAAACTACTCTGGGGCTAGCAGATAATATGGGTGTTGGGGCTCTTGATTTTCATATGGCCAACCATGGCTTAAGTCCTGGCCCTCGTGACTTGAAAAACACCAGGTGCTTGTGTGTGCATGCCCAAAATCCTGAGAGAACGGAGGAGAAGGGATTGCAGCATGGCCATCCCCCCTCAGGAGTGATTTTTCACTTTCTCTGTCACTCTCCAGCAAGCATATGCATTTAAAAAAAATTTTTTTTTTTAAAGAATCATTTAATTTTATTTATTCATTCATTTATTTTGACTAGATAGAGAGAAAGCCACCAGGTCCAGGACTTGAACCATGGATAGCCATGTGGGAGTGTCCAGCACCTTAACTACCACGAAACCTGCTGATCCCACTTGTAGCAAAAATCTAAAACAAAACAAAACAAAACCTACTTTGGGGTCTAGCCATGGTGGCCCACAGATGGCACTGCCACTTAGGAGTCTGGAAGTACAGAGGAGCCCAGGTTTTGTTCCCAGTCTGACCTTGAACACACTGGGCTTAGTTGTATGTGCCTGTAATCCTAGCTAATTGGGAAGCTGGGCTAGAGGTTTGCAACATGGCAAGACCCTGTCAAAAATAGCTCTCTTGGGGACCAAGCAGGTGGCATGGTGATTAAGGTGCTAGACACTCGTACATGGCTTGACTACAGTTCTAGTCCCTGGCCTGGCAGCTTGCTTTCTTGCTTTTCTCTCTCTCTCTGTGTCTCTCTTTCTGGTCAAATTAAAATAAATGAATGAATAAATAAAATTAAATTAAAAAAATTAA